GATGAATAGATCATACAAGGCCTTGTAGGTGTTAGAAAGAACTTCGGCACGTACTCTGAGTGAAATCGGAGGCAATTGGGGTTTGAGCAGAGGAAGACATAATCTGACTTATGTTTTAAAAGATCCACTGTGTTTAAAATTAACGGAAAAAGAAAAGACAAAAGAACAAACAAGAAGACCAATTAGTTAATTATTACACTTATACGGACAACAGATGACAGTGGCTTGGTCATGGAAGATGTGTTTGGCTTCTGGATATATTTTGAAGGAAGACCTGACAAGATTTGCTGACAGATTAGATGGGATGTGTATGAAAAAGAAAAAGACAGGAGTCAAAAATGATACCAATTTTTTTTTGGCAGAGCAACTAGAAGAATTGTCATTAACTTAATTAGGAAAGACAAGAAGGGCAGGTATAAGAAAGAATATCAGTATTCAATTTTGGAGATGTTAAGTTTGCAATACCCAATAACTATCCCAAAGAAATATCAAATAGCTGGTTTTATATGTAGGTCTGGAATTCCACAGAGAGATGTGGGCTGGAGATACAACCTTGAGGATCATTAGAATATACAAGATAGTAAAAGTCAAGAGAAAGAAGATCAAGGACTGATTCCTAGAAGACTTCAATGTGGAAGAGGTGGAGAATGAGCAGAAAGAAGCAAATCAGGCTGAGATATACAGACTAGAAAGGCAGGTGGTAACCAGGTGAGTGAGTGATATCCTGAAAGCTAAATGAAGATAGAATTTTGGAGAAGAGAGTTTTCCAATGGGTCAAATATTGCTGATAGGTTAAATAAAATAAGATCTAAGAAATTATGTCTAGATTTATTAGAATGAAAATCAGTGGTGGGGTGCCTGGGTGGCTCAGTGGGTTAAGCCTCTGCCTTCGGCTCAGGTCATGATCTCAGGGTTCTGGGATCAAGTCCCACATCGGGCTCTCTGATCGGCATGGAGCCTGCTTCCTCCTCTCTCTCTCTCTGCTTGCCTCTCTGCCTACTTGTGATCTCTGTCAAATAAATAAAATCTTTTAAAAAAAAATGAAAATCAGTAGTAACCTTTGAAAAATCAATTCTGGAGTAATGGGACTGGAAATTACTAGTGAGAATTTAAGAGTGAATGGGAGGGAAATAAGGATCACTGATTGTACATGGTTCTTTTAAGGATTTCATAGCTAAGTGGAATGATCACAGATGACTTAATTTTCTTGTTTAGTTCAATCCTTACACATGATGACGTAGTATTTTTGTAATATTTTGAAATTTTTAAATTACATACATGTAGCACTAAATTTTTTTTTCTTGTTTGTTTGTTTTAAGTGCCACACCAAGGGGACGCTTGAGTGGCTTAGTCTGTTAAGTCTCCAACTCTTGGTTTTGGCTCAGGTCATGATCTCAGGGTTGTGGGATCTAGTCCTGCACAGGGCTCTGCTCTCAGTGCCAAGCCCGCCTGTCCCTCTCTCCACCACCACACCTCACCCCCAACTCTCTCTCTAATATAAACAAATAAAATCTTTAAAAAAAGCCAGACCAAGGCATTAAATAATTCATGAAATTATACAAGCAAAAGACTCCTTAAAAATTTTCTAGATATATAATATTATATAACCTGATTATCACTTTTTCTTATGCTTAAAGAGACCACAGAAAAACTCTAAGTACCAACAGCAGTATTTCATGCTTGATAAAAATCATCTAATTCTAGGATATCTTCTACTATCCAAAATAATTAGTCATATTAAAATTCTGTAAGAGAACTACAAGGGGTTTATAATGCAGAAAATATTCCTATTTTGTAAACTGAATTCTCATAAATTCTAAAATATGAGGTCACTATTGAAAATTTTGGTGTGGCACATGTAGAAATAGATTCTCTTTAAAAAGGAAGGATAATAGCACACGTGCATGGTACTTTAAGAAGAGTCAACGCATTAGCAACATCTTGGTTTATAACACAGGGATCAAATCAAATGTTTGTATAGAACATGGGACAAGTTGACACATGAAATCTCTTGGTAATACTCAGATCAATTTGAGGGTCCAACATTTGAGCACTCGTGCATTAGGAACCAAAACCAAAACCTAGTGACTAGCAATTTTGTTGGTAATAAGAGTGCCAGAATAGCAGGTAACTTCCTTTTGCAGCACAGCAGATATTAAAAGTATTCTATTTTTCACAAAACTCAACCATTCTCCTACACCATACATAAAGATAAATTCTAAATGGATGAAAGACCTCAGTGTGAGACAGGAATCCATCAGAACCCTAGAGCAGCCCCATAGGCAGTAACCTCTTCGACATCAGCCACAGCAACTTCTTTCAGAACATGTCTCCAAAGGCAAAGGAAACAAAAGTGAAAATGAACTTTTGGGACTTCCTCAAGATAAAAAGCTTCTGCACAGCAAAGGAAACAGTCAACGAAACAAAGAGACAACCCACGGAATGGGAGAAGATATTCACAACTGACACTACAGATAAAGGGCTGGTATCCAAGATCTATAAAGTACTTCCCAAACTCCACACCCAAAAAACAAATAATCAAGTCAAAAAATGTGCAGAACAACAGACACATGAGAAAGTGCTCCACATCACTCAGCATCAGGGAAATACAAATCAAAACCACAATGAGATACCACCTCACACCAGTCGGAATGGCTAAAATTAACAAGTCAGGAAATGACAGATGCTGGCGAGAATGTGGAGAAAGGGGAACCCTCCTACACTGTTGGTGGGAATGCAAGCTGATGCAACCACTCCAGGAAAACAGCATGGAGGTTCCTCAAAAATTTGAAAACAGAGCTACCCTACGACCCAGCAATCACACTACGGGGTATTTACCCTAAAGATACAGATGTAGGTATCTGAAGGGGCACATGCACCTGAATGTTTATAGCAGCAATGTCCACAATAGCCAAACAATGGAAAGAACCTAGATGTCCATCCACACATGAATGGATAAAGAAGATGTGGTGTATATATATACAATGGAATACTATGCAGCCATCAAAAGAAATGAAATCTTGCCATTTGCGATGACGTGGATGGAACTAGAGGGTATTATGCTGAGGTAAATAAGTCAATCAGAGAAAGACAATGATCATATGATCTCCCTGATATGAGGAAGTTGAGAGGCAACGTGGGGCGATTGGGGGGTAGGAAAAGAATAAATGAAACAAGATGGGATCAGGAGAGAGACAAATCATAAGAGACTCTTAATCTCACAAAACAGAGGGTTGCCGGCGGGAGGGGGGTATGGAGAGGGTGGTTGGGTTATGGACATTGGGGAAGGTATATGCTATGGTGAGTGCTGTGAAGTGTGTAAACCTGGTGATTCACAGACCTGTACCCTTGGGGCTAATAATACATCATAAGTTAATAAAAAAAATAGAAAGTTATATTTAAAAAAATGGGCAGAAGACATGAACAGATACTTCTCCAAAGAAGACATACAAATGGCTAATAGACACATGAAAAAATGTTCATCATCATTAGCCATCAGGGAGATTCAAATCAAAACCACAATGAGATACCACCTTACAACAGTTAGAATGGCCAAAATTAACAGGACAGGAAACAACAAGTGTTGGAGAGAATATGGAGAAAGGGGAGCCCTGTTACACTGTTGGTGGGAATGCAAGTTGGTGCAGCAGCTTTGGTAAATAGTGTGGAGGTTCTGCAAAAAGTTAAAAACAGAGCTACCCTAAGACCCAGCAATTGCATTACTGGGTATTTACCCCAAAGATACAGATGTAGTGAAAAGAAGGACCATATGCATCCCAATGTTCATAGCGGCAATGTCTACAATAGCCAAACTGTGGAAGGAGCAGAGGTACCCTTCAACAGACAAACGGATGAAGAAGATATGGTCCATATATACAATGGAATATTCCTCAGCCATCAAAAAGGGTGAATACCAACATCTGCATCAACGTGATGGAACTGAAGGAGATGATGCGGAGTGAAATAAGTTAAACAGAGAAAGACAATTATGACATGGTTTCACTTATTTGTGGAACATAAGGAATAGCATGGAGAACATTGGAAGGAAGGGAAAAATGAAGGGGGGAAAATCAGAGGGGGAGATGAACCCTGAGACTATGGACTCTGGGAATCAAACTGAGGCTGTTAAAGGGGAGTGGGGTGGGGGAGTTGAGTGAGCCCAATGATGGTTATTAAGAAGGGCTTGCATTGCATGGAGCCCTGGATGTTATACACAAACAACGAATCACAGAACACTACATCAAAAACTAATGAGGCTATGGTGACTACCATAGCATAATTTAAAAAAATGAAAAGAAAAAGAAATGCTGGGATAGAAAAATAAATAAGTAGATAAAAGTATTCCAAAATTTGCATAAAATATGACATCAAACCAAAAACTTTAAATATACTTTGTTAAACAATCAGTACTTTGTAGACCTAAACTCATTTTTTCAAACAGTTGCATACTACATTGTTTTACAGGGGTGAAAATTTACTTCCCTATTGAAGGATACTGAGACTATCTCCAACTTTTTTATATGAAATTAATGCTATAATAAATATCCTTAACATATGTCATATTTTATATATATAAAATGTATAATAAATGTCCTTAGAATGTGTGTGTGTGTTTATGTTTACCCAAGTCATGTTTTCCTATAGGATCTAGTCCTGGCAATGAAGCTCTTGGCATAAAGAGACAGAATATTTAAAGTTTTTGAAACAAAATGCTAAATCACTCTTCAGAAAGGATTTACCAATTTTATTTAACAACATTATATAAGAATGCCCTTTTCCTCACATTTGCTAACTTTGGTTGTTAATTTTTAAATAAAGTATTTATCACTATGACTGCAAAAATGGTATCTCATTATTTAAATTTTTCTGATTAGCACCCAAATTGAAATAGTCTTACTAAAAACCATAAAATTTGTTAATCATGAATGTTAGCTCCAACTAGAATTTGTTTTATAGGAAAATAATTATTACCTACTATTTAAATATTGCTATAGGCTTACCCATCAGATTCTTCATTTTCCGTAATAGGACATGGGTTGTTATCAGTTTTTCCACTCCCTATTGGATGCATTAGTCCAGCAGCAGCAGAAGCATATATGCTTTCCAATACTGCCATTTCATCATTTTGGTGCTTCTCCGTTTCTTCAATCTTTAATGGAAGTTTGATACAAAGGATAATCGTTACTAGTTTATTCATTAAAAAGAACTTTTTATTCATTAATTATACATGTTTTAAAGATTTTATTTATTTATTCATCAGAGAGAGAGAGAGCACAAGCAGGAGGAGGTGCCAGCAGAGGGAGAAGGAGGCTCCCTACTGAGCAGGGAGCCCAGTGCAGGACCCCATCCCAAGACCCTGGGATCATGACCCAAGCCAAAGTTGGCTCTTAACCAACTGAGGCACCCAGACATCCCAGAACTTTTTTCAATAATTATATCATTTGACTCTTAGTTTGTCATAATTTTAATTCACAAAAATATTTTGTGGTTATCATTACAAGTAAGTGCAATTTTTATAAATTCTGCTTCATTTCTATTTCAATAAAGAGAGAGGAATTGGGACGCATGGGTACCTCCGTGGATAAGTATCTGCCTTCAGTTCAGGTCATGATCGAGTCCAGACCTGCTTCTCCTTCTGCCAGTACCTCCCCCTGCTTGTGTGCACCTGCTCTCTCACTCTCTCCCTCCCTCTCACTCTCTCTCTGACAAATAAATAAAATCTTTAAAATAACTAACTAAATAAATAAAATTAAAATAGCAGAATTTTCCAAATTTTCAAAAAGGGCTTTCTTAATTTTGTATTCACATCCATGCTTTTCTACCTAACATTCCCCACCCTACCCTATCTGATCAGCAGATAAAAAGAAATAAAAAGACAAAGACATAAAATTTGTGGTCTTCTGTCTTTACCATCTGGATTTTGCATAAACAGTTAGATTTAAAGGCTGTGACATTGTGGTGCTCTAGAAACAAACAGGAAGCTTTCCTCTTTTTGGACCGAGCTATTCTTTCCCCACTGTCTCTTATAATCCTTTTTCCATTTGGTCCCTAGGGTTACCAGTAAAGTGACAGTGTTCATTAAAATATATGATCCAAAGTCCACCACAACACACCAAAAAAAAAAACCAAAAAAAAAAAACCCAGAGTGAATCTGCTCTTAGTGCAGAATTTTGGGAACTGAGTAATGCTCCCCAAATTCCACATTCAGTAACCATAAAATTTTATCGCTAGAGGGTATAAAAGTAATTATCAACTTTAATCCCATTTTCTACTGATGATGGGAGTAAAACCAAAAAAGGTTAATGATTTGTCCAAAGTTCCTAAAGTGGCATTACCTAGCATTTTATGGCACCAAAAGAGATGATATAATTCTTTAATGCCAAATCAGATAAGTTACCAAATTCATTAAATTAACCAGATACATTAAGAGTGTGACATTGGCACAGTAATTTAATACCTTAATTGGGGATGAGGTGCTTAGCTACTTTTTCTGTTAAAGAAGGATATCCCTATATTTTTGTCTATTTTTTAAAATTCAATTCACCTCAAAAGTCAGTTTTCTCCCTTCCAGTTAAATACTGAAGGTTTGTTGAAGGTTTATGCTACCTACATTATAAAAATCATACATGTCAAAATGGACCATACTTTATAAAACATAATATGAAGGTTTGGCTCAACAGAAATGTGTGAAAATGGTGATTAAAAAGAAAAAAATGTGGAGGGGGCACCTGGGTGGCTCAGTCAATTGGGCCTCTGACTCTTGATTATGGCTTAGGTCATGATCTTGGGGTCATGGGATAGAGTCCTGCATCAGGCTCTATTCTCAGTAGGAAGTCTGCTTCTCTCTCTCCCTCTCTCTCCTTTTGCCCCTCCCCCTGCTCATGCTCTCTCTCTAAATAAATAAATAAATCTTAAAAAAGAGTCTGTTTAGGGGCACATGGGTGGCTCAGTCTGTTAAGCGGCTGCCTTTGGCTTAGGTCATGATCCCAGCGGTCCTGGAATCGAGCCTCACATCGGGCTCCCTGCTCAGAAGAGAGCCGGTCTCTCCCTCTTCCTCTGCCTGCTGCTCTGCCTACTTGTGGTCTCTTTCTATCTCTCTGTCAAATAATTAAATTTTTAAAAAAGCTTTAAAAAAAAAGAATCTGTTTTAAAAACATATGGAGAAAAAAAGTGATCATACAAATATTTGTTATTAAAAATATCTCAAAGTGATCGTGTTGGAATTCTGAGTTCCAAGAGTGAGTGAAGCAGAGAAGATTGCACATACTGAAACAATAAAAAGAAGCAATAAATAGATTGGTTTAGCTGAAATATTTGTTTATATCCTCTTTCTTGTCCTTGTTTCTTTCCCATTTTATTGTTGATGTAAGTGCAATTTATATTTAAGCCAATAGATAAAAATGAAAACCCTAGAAATGGGACACCTGGGTGGCTCAGTGGTTAAGCTTCTGCCTTTGGCTCAGGCCATGATCCCAGGGTCCTGGGATGGAGCTCCAGGTCAGGTTCCCTGCTCAGGAGAGTCTGCTTCTCCCTTTCTCTCTCCCTCTGCCTCTCCTCAACTCATGCTCTCACACGCACACACATGCTCTCTCTCTCAAATAAGTTAATCTTAAGAAAAAATCTAGAAATTATTATATATTTTTTAAAAATGTATTTATTTGGTAAAGAGATCATAAGGAGGAAGGGCAGAGGGAGAAGGAGAGAGAAACTAAAGCAGACTCCACGCTGAGCTAAGTGCCCAAGGCCGGGCTTGATCTCACGACCCTGAGATCACAACCCACGCCAGAAACAAGAGTCGGATGCTTGACTGTGCCACCTGGGCGCCCCAAGATAACTGCATTTTTTAAAGCAATTTTCTTTACAGTTTTTGGTTCATGAAGTCACAAGGTACAGAGATAAATTAGTTTCCCAGTTCGTATGCCACTTGGCAGACTGAAAGAGAAACTTAAGGAAAACAAATCATAAGAATGTTTTTCCTGCACTCTACCATTTAGACAGCAGAAATAATCTATTTCTGAACACAATTACATATTTAGACAACCCCATATGATACATGAACCTTTTCATAACTGGAAAATCAATATGGCTCAGGTCATTGATAAAGAAAAGAACAAAAGAGCAGCTCAAAGTGAATCTCTACCTCTTTTTGAAGTTCAACGTTTCTCTGTTCCAAAGACAGGAACTCTATCTGCAACGTGCCTACCTCATTCTTAAACTTTTTCACATCTTGCTATGAATCTTCCTCTAGATACACTTCTGATGTTCTGTAACTACATGCTGGAGAACTCCCATTTTCTAATTCGGGATCCATACTTCTATAGTTATTAGTACTGTCATTGCTGCATATAATGGCTTCTAGAATAAGTCTTTTGTTTTCTTCTAAGCGTTTGTAACAGCAGAAATAGTTTGCCTTTTTATTTGACTCTTTCGTCTCATCTCACTGAGGCAGGCAAGCCAAGAATCAAAACGGCTTCCTGGATTACTAGACTGAGGTATACACCCAATGTCTAATTTACAATCAGGGCTAGATTGGTTTATACTTTTTGCCATTTGCATGTCAAACTCTTGGTCTTCTTTCACTTCAAATGTAACCCATGGGTTCCTTACTTTTTTATTTTCTCTATCACTATCAAAACTCTCATTTTTGTTAAAAAAAATGCTCAAAGTCTGATTTGTTATCATTTTCAGAGTCTGATTTATTTTCACTTAAGGAAAGATCAGAAGATGACCGGCAACTATGATCTGAGGATGAATGAGAAAGAACGACATTTTCGAGTCTAGACTCTTTCTGTTCAGGTAATGCCTGAAGTATGACAAAGACAGGCAATGCAAATGCATCTTTTTTCTCACAATCAAATCTATCATTTGTCAAATTAGAAGGTATTTCCGTTAAGTTTGCTCCTTCTTTAAAGGGACCATATAGTGACTCTTCCTTAGGATAAGCAGTAATTTTGTTTTTTTCACAAATTTCACTTCTGCTTTAACTATCTGGTGATGAGTTTTAACTTATTTTTCCACTCTAATTTTCTTGTTTGGTCCACATGTCCTCATACTTTTGAACAGAGGGATGTTCTGAGTATAAAAATATATCATCCTCTCTATCACATTCCTTATTCATTCCTGGTTCTTGAGCCATTTTTGACAGATACAAAAGTTAAATTGCTGTGTTTGATTTTCAGATGTCCTTTCTGTCAGCATACATGTTTGTAAAATAACTTTATCCTTAAGTAATCAAGTATGGACAAAGAAAAAATTAGAAAATAATTAAAATTTAACTGTTAAATTTCTTAATCTATGTTAAGCTGCTCCCAAGTCACTGGATTGTAACTAAGAAGCAAAAAATAACTTGCCCTAGCCTGAAACAGAAGAAAAACACAAATCCATAAACTTAACTTTGTCAGTTTTTTTAAGCTAAACAATTCATTACATGTTATATCTACCAAAAAATGAATTAGATGATTTTCAATGTTACAAACTTAAAAACATTTTATCTTGCCATACCTTAAACAGTGAGCCCCAATAGTGCATTTGAAGATTTTTTTAAAGATTAATGACTAAAGAATAGGCAAACTTATTATTAGGAGCCAAAATCAATAAACATCAATCAGAAAGAAAAATAAATTCCTAAATTTTAATTCAAATTATATACTGTGATAGTGTTATACATCACTATAAATTATCTGCCTGCATCTAGCAATTGTAACGTCCACTGAGAGTGGATAAGAAAAATGTTAATAATATTTACAGATTCCCTATACTGAAATGAAGTAACTGAAAAAGTGCCTGTTTATTACCCAACTACAAAGGTCCCATCCTGGAAGGTGTGATTCTACAATAGGCAATTGTGTTGATTTTATGACCCTACTCTCTGAAGTCGACTACACAGAGATCACAAGGCAAAATAAATCTTTAATCTTTGCATTAGTGACTGGCAATACAGAACTCACATTTTGAACCACTGAGAACTGCACATTAAGAACCACCAAGAACCACTCCTTCTACATGAGTCTAAGTCAGTAGTCATCATTGTTATACTGCTCATAATTTCAACTGCTTAAACATATGGTTCAGTATTTGATGTTACCTTTTTAGCATGTGAAAACTTACAAAAATGGAAGAAGCAAACAATATTCAGGAAATTTTTTGGTCCAATTCCAAGGATAAAGTTTAACTATAAGCTACTATAAATTCTAACAATATTTTAAATTTGGTAACTTGTAAAATTTTACAAAAACTAAATATTAAATTATAATCTATCAACTTCAATATGTTCTGTTCAGAAGATAATTTCAATTGAACTATGTTACATTCTTAAAGCAGGGAAAACAATATAAAATTGGAAATTTAAATTTAAATTTGTATATACCTGCAGGTGTTTATTTTCACTTTCACTAAGACTTTCTTCCTCTTCTTCTGTTGTCATTTCTAAGTCTAGTTCTGCTGAAAAATCTATATGTTTAATTAAAATGGACAAATTAGAATGGTTAGATAAAAGCTATAACCTTCGTAAAAATAGAAAACAACATCTTATCAATTAAGAGTTTAAATTAACCTTAATCTTTAGCTGAATATTTACTTTAAGAAACACTTTTCATTATCAAAAACGTCAACAAACCATTTGGGAAATACTAAATGTCACTAGGTTAAAGGCATACAAACACCTCAAAGACTCATTCACAAATTCACCCACCTAACACCAACGAACAAAACAATCAGAAACAAAATTTTAAAATGCAGCAGAAAGATATAAAATCACAACAGACTATTCTTTACCTTGTTACAGTACTTCTTAAACAACACCCTAAGCTTCAACTACAACATTATTCATGGTTTCCAAAATTACTAGTATTTTTTATGCCGTTATCAGTGTACAACCTTCCTACGGGTGTATTTACCTGATGAGTGTAAACATTCCTAAAATGTTTTTCTCTACTACTTGCCAAATTTCATCACATCTTATAGGACACAGACTGCTACATAAAGTCATCCTTGATTATGGCTACCCTTCCCTAGATAAACAGATCTCTTTCTTTGGGGCTATGTTAGTACCATACAGATTTTTCTAGTGTATCTTCACCACCTGAACTGTAAGTTACATATATATATATACACACACACATATCTATATATGTGTGTGTGTGTGTGTATATATATATATATACACACATATATTTCTTTTGTTACTAGACTGTATGGGACAATCTCTCTCTCTTTTTTAAGAGAGAGAGAGGGGGAAGGAGAAGAGGGAGAGAGAATTTTGACCAGGCTCCACACAACAGCACTGAGCCCCACATGGGGCTTGATCTCACAACTCTGAGGTCATGAACTGAGCCAAAATCAAGAGTTTGACAGTTAACCGACTGAGCCCCCCCCAGGGGTCCCTGTATGGGACAATCTCATAAATCATCTCTGTGTAAACACTCTCTATTTTACTCAGTAATTATTTACTGAGTTTCCAGTAAGTGCTAGGCACCCAGGTTTAAAGAAGCATGTAGATAAAAGGTGTCAGGAATGGATTTTCTAGAGATAATGCCTGAACTGAGACAGCAACACTGAGGTCAGACAGATTCAAAGGGGTTATAGGGCGGAAAATGGGGGGAATATACAAGCCTGTAGTAAGACAAGGAAGAGAAACACACAACAGGGTAAATATCTGTCTAAAATACAGGAATCAAAGAGGAAGACACCAAAAGCAGTTCAGAATGCCAGAGAAAAGGGCAGACAGTAGAAAGGGTTGGAGAGCTTAGCAGAACTCAAAATTATGAAAGCTTTATATGTAATTTTAAGATACCTGGACACAAACATATTTTCAACAATGGTTCACAGTCATATTTGCATTTGAGACAGATCCCTCTAAATGCTGTGGAGAGGGATGAATTTGAGGGGCATTGTAATAAAAGGTGGGAGATGAATGAGAAGGCACTGATGCAAAATAAAGATGAAGCACACATGAACTGACAGAATCGTTCTAGAAATATTGAGGATATAAAATTATCAGGGCCAGTACAGAATAAATCTGTACTAAATGAATAAACACACAATCTTGTGTACCTAGCAACCAACTTTGCTCATTACTTTATAAAAGGCATCAAGTGGGAATTATTCTACATGAACTGTTTTAAGTATTTATTTTATAATTTTTCTGTTCCATATCTTCCTGTGTTACAGGAACCTGTGGGTGCTTTGTTTCAAAAGCCCTGCTTCTTGGATCCACCAAGCTCACGAGGAAGTAACAGGAACAAGTCACTTGTATAGGTAAATAACTTTGAATTTATTGTCTGCATTCACTAGTCTAGGAGACAATTGAAAATCTTTTGAAAAATATACTGTTAATTCTACAAGTAAAGAAAGAACATAAAACTACAGGGGTGAAAAAAATACTGTACAATTTATTAGTACCAATCTGAACATATGACTGATAAAAGCCACTGAGTTAACTGGTACATTAAGTAGAGTACACATTAGATATGGTTAATCAACAGACTGAGTATATCAGGAGAATATTATTTTTAAATGATATAGTACTCCTTAAAACCAATATTCCACCTATTCATCAAAATTAATGAAGGGGGGGGCGCCTGGGTGCCTCAGTCAGTTAAGCGACTGCCTTCAGCTCAGGTCATGATCCCAGGGTCCTGGGATGGAGTCCTGCATCAGGCTCCCAGGTCAGTGGGGAGTCTGCTTCTCCCTCTGCCCCTCCTCCCACTTTTTCTCTCAATCTCTCTCACTCTCTCAAATAAATAAAATCTTTTAATAATAATAATAATAATAAAGGGGCATCTGGGTGGCTCAGTGAGGTAAGTTGTCTACTCTTGATTTCAGCTCAGGTCATGATCTCAGGGTTGTGAGATCGAGCCCCACATCAGACCCCATGCTAAGAATGAAGCCTGCTGCTTGGGGTTCTCTCCCTCCCTCTCCTTCTGCCTTCCCTCCCTCGTTCCCCATTTTCTTGCTCTCTAAAAAGATAAAATAAAAATAATAAAACAAGGAGATAGACTCTGCATACATAGTTGAGAAGACGGTACTATATAGTAAATTCTCAATGATTCCCATTATTGCTGGGAAAGCCAACTCTAAAATATAGTCATACAGAATATAGGAAATATTTTAATATTTGGTTTGGGAAGCAGCTTTTTCTAGTTACACTGAATATAATTTGACCAATACTTGTGAATTTAAAGCTATAAAAATAAAGCTAAGAAACTGTGTTTTCAATAAGCAATCTTTAGACCTCTACCTAGTATTCCCAGCTGGGCACAAACTTCTAAATATAATCCTGCTACCCACTCTCAAGTGAATATTAAAAAATAGCCTAAAAGAAATTACTTTCTCCTAATTCTTTTTTTTTTTTTTTTAAGATTTTATTTATTAGGCGCCTGGGTGGCTCAGTTGGTTGAGCAACTGCCTTTGGCTCACGTCATGATCCCAGACTTCTAGGATCGAGTCCCGCATCGGGCTCCCAGCTCCTTGGGGAGTCTGCTTCTCCCTCGGACCTTCTCCTCTCTCATGCTCTCTCTCACTCATTCTCCCTCAAATAAATAAATAAAATCTTAAAAAAAAAAAAAAGATTTTATTTATTTATTTATTTGACAGACAGAGATCACAAGTAGGCTGAGAGGCAGGCAGAGAGAGAGAGGAGGAAGCAGGCTCCCAGTTGAGCAGAGAGCCCGATACGGGGCTCAATCCCAGGACTCTGAGATCATGACCTGAGCCGAAAGCAGAGGTTTTAATCCACTGAGCCACCCAGGCGCCCAACTTTCTCCTAATTCTTATTCCTATGTTGCTTTGGTTAGAAGAAGAATGCAAATGTCCTGCTAAAAGAGACTGTTTGGTTGTAGGTTGCATAAAAGGAGTAAACACAAAGTAAATTTTGTCACAAAATTATTTTTGAAAAATCAGAACAATGGTGAGGTCATGGAGAGGTTGAATTCTCTATGCTTCTTCACTACCTTCTTTGTGCTCTCTGTTTCCTGGTAGCTGCGATTCGCACACATGAAGGAGTTTAGAATTTTCTAACATAAACACAGCTCCAATATTATTAATCCTTTTTTAAAAATTTTAAATATTTTATTTATTTATTTGACAGAGAGAGAGATCACGAGTAGGCAGAGAGGCAGGCAGAGAGAGAGGGAAGAAGCAGGCTCCCTGCTGAGCAGAGAGCCCGATGTAGGGCTCGATCCCAGGACCCTGAGATCATGACCCGAGCCGAAGGCAGAGGCCCTAACCCACTGAGCCACCCAGGCGCCCCTTCTTAATCCTTTTTTTAATCTATTAAGGGCATCTGTTTAAACTCTGTGGATGCCGACCACTTTTTGGTCACCGACTGTAATAGAGACGGGCGTTTATCATCAACTTTCAAATCCCTGGATCTTTGACAAATTGCACTATTTTGGTCCAAACCAGTAGACTTCTAATTGGACAAATCTAAAAAGCAAAGTTGATTTATTAGAATGTAAATAATAATACAAACTTGACTAATTTGTATAAATTCTTTTGTCAGAGAAGCAGTCCCATGTTCTACTCTTCTCTCAGACGTATTACTACTCATTCATAGCTTATTGTATTTTACATGTCCTATACTTGCCATTCACACAGATGAATTTAGCTGCCTTTCATTTTTTGTATTCTCTAGTATTACATAATTTAATTTACTCACCATGCTCTATTACATATTCAGTATTCCATAAGAGTTTTTGTTCAATAATGACTAAGATCTACCAGGTTATAAAATTGTGGGTAATAAAATTTATTTCTAACCATTTATTTTATGTTTAAAGATTTTATTTATTTATTTGACAGAGACCACAGGTAGGCAGAGAAGCAGGCAGAGAAAGAATGGGAAGCAGGCTCCCCGCTGAGCAGAGAGCCTGATGCAGGGCTCCATCCCAGGACCCTGGGATTATGACCTGAGCCGAAGGCAGAGGCTTTAACCCACTGAGCCACCCAGGTGCCCCTTTATTTTATGTTTAAATACATACTATCTATTCCAAAGACATGCATTTTAAAAAAGTTTTAATGAATGGTACTACTTAAACTAAAATGAGATTGTCTTTCCTCAATACACCAATATCTTCAGAAATCTTTAAGTCTTAGACCAACTAAGTTTATATGAGAAAAGAAAGACTTGGGGAATGTAATCATTTCCATGTAAAGACAGGTCAAGTATCGGGCCACATTAGATCCAAAAACTACAGTGCCATGAAACAGAAAATGAATATATAATAAAAATATTTTCCTTTTTTTAAACCAAGATTGTCTGATTTATACCTCTTAAGTGAAGGTAAAAAGCAAGAAATGCAGGAATGAAACCTTAATGCCCATTTCATCAAAAGGGCCCCGTTATCACTTTGAATCCATGAATCCTGTACATGGTTTAAAACAGTTCTCCCATGTCATCTGAGAATCCACAGAGTTCCAGGATCCATCCATTCACAGGATCCAAGAGGTCAAAACTATTTTCACAACAATGATAAATGATATTTGACATTTTCACTCATTCCCTTCTTTAGTGTATGCTGAAGTTTTCTGAACATACGATACATGATAGTATCACAACTTGCATGATTAATGGATCATTAATCTAATGATTAACAAAGTATGATCGTATTTGCTTCTTTATAAATGTCTGTTTTAATTTCTACTATTGTAAATATCAACAGATGGAACGCTCTTAAACAGAAGTTCTTTGGAATTCCCAATACATTTTTAAAAGTATACAAGGACCCTCAGGCCAATGAGTTTCAGAATTTCTGTTGTAAAGGATTATGTCTACCAAATACTAAGATATAACTACTTACTTCCCGCATTTCCAATAATCAAACACACCACACACACACACACACACACACACACACACACACACACAAATCTGCTAATCAGAACATCTGTCTGGCTTAAGATGATGAACATCGACACTAAGATGAAATAAACTTAAAACACAATTCACATGTTAGCAAATGAAGCTAGACTCTAAGTAAAGTTCAGAATTCGGATAAACATTATGAACCAGAAAAAGGTTAGAGTCTAATAACTAACCTCTGGGAAGCCCTAGGAATTAAAGGGGTTCCAAACTGGGAACATTAGGAATTTAAAACATAAAAGTAGAAACTTGAGCTAAAGCTTACATTTTTAAAATCTCTTCTTCTTACACTTGTAAATAACTTTTGTTCAAACATGGATATCAGGAATAACATCTACCTTATTAATATCAAATACTTCACTTAAAATTGCCCCCCCCAAAAAAGGAATTCAGAATAAAAAGACTGTGAGCATTTCAAATATTTTTGTTGTACTACCTTCCACAGTTAAATTTCTATTGTAAAATTTACCTGATTCGGATGTTTCTTTTTCCTCCATTTCTCCTGGTTTATTAGGAAGAGAATGGTTTACTTCAACACCAGGCTGAATGGATATTGAAAGAACACAATTAAGACAATGTACATTTCATACAATCTGTAGTTAAAAATTCAAAATAAAAGTATAAGTTTTACCTTCAAGTAAGAATATTTTCCTGGAGAATCTAAAAAGCAAAAGGGACATATACCTAATTATATGTAAATATGAGAGCCAACTAAACATTTATGCAGTTGGTACTAAGCTGAATCCTTGTGCCTGGTTCTGATTACATTAGGTTTTGGTGTTCTGTTTCTGGAGACAGGAAGGTAGGTTGGGAAGAAAACCAATTTCTAATGAGAGAACAAATCATGACCCTGAGTGGACAAACGAGAAAGCCAATGGTAGAATGCTACATCACATCCTTAGGGCAGTACAACAGAATCATTTATACCATTAGACTGTAAGTATTTACCATGTTCTTCAATTTCTCCCATAATTTAGGCAGTACACACTTCTGATGATAGTTCAACTGAATACATAATTGAGTTATCATCAGAGAAAGTGTTATGAATTGGTCAGCTTGGATATACACTTTTAGGATAATACTTACTGAAAGTACTCATTTTAATCCATACCCATGTGGGCTACTGCTATGCCTACATTTGTTGTATCCTCTAGTTTAGCCATCTTAAAGTTTCTTGATCCGCTCACTCAAGAAGGTATATAAAACACATCTAAGAAATAATGTAGAATAAGCTTTCACTATGGAACTATGACTACCAAAATGGGGGAAAAAATGTATTTAAATGACACAGAACTCTTAGGTACTGAAAATCCTTTGTATTTCAGGATCAGTGTCACACTTACTGATAATAACAATTTTGGCATTTAGGGAACCAACCCTAAAATTTCTTTTGTTTCCAAAACTACTGTGATTTGGTAGATCTTGTCTTTTTTTCTTTTTTAAAGATTTTATTTATTTATTTGTCAGAGAGAGAGCCCAAACGCAGGCAGAGTGGCAGACAGAGGCAGAGAGAGAAGCAGGCTCCCCGCTGAGCAAGGAGCCCCATGGGGACAGGATCCCAGGATCCTAGGATCATGACTTAAGCCAAAGGCAGCAGCATAACCAACTGAGCCACCCAGTCGACTCAAGATGATGTCAGACTTTAAACGGTTTTTGGAATCAGCGATAGTACCAATAAATTACCTATCTTTAAAAAAGAAAAAAAAATAAAAAGCCGTAGCTTCCGAATCTCATTTAAATAATGAATACCAATGCAACACATAACTTTGATGTCCAGTAGACGTGAGGAGGATGAATACGTTGCTATGATTGACCCCATGTCTAGCACTCCATCTGCTTTCAGTATTCTCTGTAGAGCTGCTGTGATTTAATTTTTTCTAGTGCAAATACCCTCGAGCCATCTCAAGTGAATTCCTGGAGTTTCCTCGTCAACTCCAAAATTTCCCAGTTAACGTGCCTTTCTTTCTTCGCTCGTTCCCATCACTATCCCTCTTCTTCATAAGTAATTTCTGGGGGCGCCAGGATGGAGCAGCGGATTGGGCATCCAGCTGTTGATTTCAGCTCAGGTCATGATGGCACGGTCCTGAGATAGAGCCCCACATCAGGCTCCAACTCAGAAGGGAATCAGCTTGAGGCAAATCTCTCCTTCTCCCTTTGCCCCTCTCCCTAATCACACACTGTCTCTCTCATTCTCTCTCCCTAAAACAAATAAAGAAATCCTTTAAAAAAGAGTTATTTCTGGATCTATGGTCTTGATTGTTCTGCTTTTACACCCCTTTTATTAGGGATTGTCTCCACCACTTCTTTCCTCTTTATTTAGCACTAGTATCTCACATCTATAACCTTTCTTTCTGCATCTCCACGCTCCCCTCTAGCTAAAAACATGCTCACAATAAAAAACAAAATAATGCTTTCCCTTCATCCTATGGTGTCTTGAAGTATCCAGGGCCTTTCCAGGTGTCTCTATGTGGAAGTCTACACCCTTGCTACAGAGCACATGACCCAAAGACCATTGACATTCGCATCACCTGACAGGTCAGAATGCAGAACCCCAGACCTGCTGCTCACAATGTGCATTTTTAACAAGGTCTCTGACGATTCACTAAAATGGGAGAAATTCTGGTCCACATTGAGTCTGCTGCCACATTCCTTTACCTTAAGCATCTAGACGCAGGCCTCACATTCGTCACTATCAATTCTTCAAAACTGGAAATGTCTTAAAAGTCGTAAGCTTTCTTTTACTTTTTTTAAAAAAGATTTTATTTAATTATTTGTCAGAGAGCGCGAGCGTGCACAAGCAGGCAGAGTGGCAGGCAGAGGCAGAGAGAGAAGCAGGCTCCCCGCTGAGCATGGAGCCCAATATGGGACTCGATCCCAGGATCCTGGATCATGACCTGAGCGGAAGGCAGACGCTTAACCAACTGAGCTACCCAAGCGTCCCAAAAAGTCATAAACCTTCTAATGGCCTTTTTATCACCGCTAAGGCTTCCTTGAATTCCCCCTAACTCACCCTGCTCTCTTCTTCCTTCCCGTCTCTTACTCGGCACTCAATGATACTATTTATGAAGTACCACCACTTTATATGCCATTAAGATACACACACTCATCGCTGACGAGAACATAGCTCTGCATCATCAGCCATGGCAGTCCTGAATGTCTTCACAACTGTGAGGAAAGCAGGAAGAGGGGGAAAATTTTGGTATGCTACTCTGACAGGTTTTGGTACCTGAAGCTCACTTGATATTATTTTGGCATTTCAAATAGTCTGCTCTACCTTTTAAAAGAATTGAGCTAAAGCTTATGTTTTTTAAAAGCCTTTTTCTTAGGCTTGTAAATAACTTTTATTCAAACATGGATATCAGCAATAACATCTATGTTATTTATGTCAGAACCTTCACTTAACCTTGCCAAAAGGAAAAGAAAGACTTCAGAAGAAGACTGTGAGCATTTCAAATATTTGACTCGACTTCTTTACACCGCTAAATTTGTATTGTAAAATTTACCTGATTGGGATGCTTGTATATCCTCCATTTCTCTGGGTTCATTAGGAACAAAACCTTTCCCCTCCACAGCAGGCTGAATGGGTATTGAAACAATATGATTAAGACATAATGAGCATTTCATGCAATCAGTAGTTAAAAATTCAAAATAAAAATGTAAGTTTTACCTTCAAGTAAGAACATTTTCCTGGAGAATCTAAAAAGCAAAAGAGACATATAGTTAATTATAGGTACATATGAAAGCCAACTAAACATTCATGCAGTTAGTACTAAGCTGAATCCTCATGCCTGGCTCAGATTACATTAGGTTTGGGTGTTCTGTTTCTGCAGACAGGAAAGTGGGTTGGGCAGAAAAGCAATTTCTACTGAGAGGAACAAATCATGACCCTGAGTGGACAAACGTGAAAGCCAGTGGTACAATGCTACATCACATCCTTGAAGCAGTACAGCAGAATCATTTATACCATTAGACTCTAAGTATTTACCACCTTCTTCAATTTGTCCTGTAATTTAGGCAGTCCACAGTTGTGATGATAGTTCAACTGAATGCATAATTGAGTTTTCATCAGAGAAAGCATTATGAACTGATCAGCTTTGATATACAGTTGTAGGATAACAGTTACTAAAAGTACTCATTTTTGTCCATACCCACGTGGGCTACTGGTATGCCTACATTCCTGTATCCACTAGTTTAGCCAGCTTAAAGTTTCTTGACCTACTCATGCAGAAAGGTACATAAAACACATCTAAGAAATAATGAACAATAAACTTTCAACATGGAAGTATGACTACCAAAATGGAAAAAAACCTATTTAATGGCCACAGAATTCCTAGGAACTGAAATACCATTGTATTTCAGAATTAGTGTCATATGTACTGATAATAAAAATTTTAGAAATTTTAGCATTTAGGGAACCAACCCTATAATTTCTTGTGTTTCCAAACATAGTTTGATTTCATAGATCATGTCAGTCTTTCAAGGGTTTTTGGAAACAGCTATCGTATGAAAAAATTACCTATCTTAAAAAAAGGGAGCCATAGCTTCTGTATCTCATTTGAATAACGAATACCGATGTAACCTGTATCTTTGATGTCCAATAGACATGAGGAGGATGAATACGTGGCTATGATTGACCCCATGTCTAGCACTCCATCTGCTTTCAGTATTGTGGAGCAGCTATGATTTAATCTGTTCTAGTACAAATACCTCACGCCATCCAAAGTGAATTCTCTTGAGTTTCCTCCACGACTCCAAAATTTACCAGCTAAGGTACCTTTCCCTTTTCCTTCATTCCCTTCACTATGCCCCTTCAAAAAGTAATTTCTGGGAGTGCCCGGATGGAAAAGCGGATTGAGCATCCGGCTCTTGATTTCAACTCAGGTCATGAGGGCAGAGTCCTCAGATTGAACACTGCATCGAGCTCCATGCTCAGAAGTGAGCCTGTTTGAGGAATCTCTCTCCCTCTGCCTTTGCCCCTCCCCCTGATCATTCTCTGTCTCTCTCATTCTTGCTCCCTAAAACAAATAAAGAAAATAAATCCTAATAAAAGACTTATTTGTGTATCTATGGTCTTGATTGCTCTGCTTTTACACCCTTTTTATTAGGGATTATCTCTACCACTTCTTTCCTATTTAGCACTAGTATCTTACATCTATAATCTCTCTTTCTGCATCTCCTTGCTCCCCTCTAGCTAAAAACATGCTCACAAATAAAACAAAATAATGTTTTCCTTGATCCTATGGTGTCTTGAAGTATCCAGTGGACTTTCCAGGTGTCTGTACGTGGAAGTCTACACCCTTGCTATGGAGCACATGACCCAGGACCTTTGACATTCGCATCACCTGACAGGTCAGAATGCAGGATCCCAGACCTGCTGCTCATAATGTTCATTTTATTTAAATTTTTTTAAAAGATTTTATTTCTTTCTTTGACAGAGAGAGATCACAAGTAGGCAGAGAGGCAGGCAGAGAGAGAGGGGGAAGCAGGCTCCCTGCTGAGCAGAGAGCCAGATGCGGGGCTCAATTCCAGGATCCTGAGATCATGACCTAAGCCCAAGACAGAGGCTTAACCCACTGAGCCACACACGCGCCCCTCACAATGTGCATTTTTAACAAGGTCTCCGATGATTCAGTAAAATTGGAGAAATTCTGGTCCATACTGAGTCGCGGCCACATTCCTTCACCTTAACTTCACCTTCTAGAAGCAACCTTCACGTTCGTCACTATCAATTCTTCAAAACTGGAAATGTCTTAAAAGTCATAAACTTTCCAATGGACTTTGAATCACGGCTAAAGCTTCCCTGATTCCCGTGAACTGACCTTGCTCTCTTTTTCCTTCCAATTCTCTACTTTGCACTCAAGGATACTATTTATGAAGTACCAACATTTTATAAGCCATTAAGACATACACACTTACTGCTGACTAGAGCATAGCTCTGAATAATCTGCCACGTCAGTCCTTATTGTCTTCCCAACCGAGAGGAAAGCAGGAAGAGGAGGAAAATTTTGGTACACTACTCTGACAGGTTTTGGTACCAGAAACTCACTTGATATTATTCCTGCATTTCAAATAGTCTGCTCCTCCTTTTAAAAGAATTGAGCTAAAGCTTACATTTTTCAAAAGCTCTTTTTCTTAGGCTTGTAAATATCTTTTGTTCTAACATGGTTATCAGCAATAACATTGACCTTATTTATGTCCAATCCTTCACTTAAACTTGGCCAAAAAAAAAAAATAATAATTCAGAAGAAGAAGACTGTGAGCATTTCAAATATTTAAATGTACTTCTTTCCATTGTTATATTTCTATTTTAAAAAACCTGATTTCGATGTTTGTTTTTCCTCCATTTGTCCTCCTTTCTTAGGAACAGAATCTTTCTCCTCGACAGTAGGCTGAAGAGGTATTGAAACAATATGATTAGTACATAATGTACATTTCATACAATCTGTAGTTGAAAATTCAAAATAAAAATATAAGTTTTACCTTCAAGAAAGAATATTTTTCCAGAGAGTCTAAAATGCAAAAGGGACATATAGTTAATTATGTGTACATATGAAAGCCAACTAAATATTCATGCAGTTAGTACTAAGATGAATCCTCATGCCTGGCTATGATTACATTAGGATTTCATTTTCTGTTTCTAGAGATAGGAAGGTGGGTTAGGACGGTGACAAGACAGAAATATGAACCCATTATAAGTATTGAACAAAAATACAAAATACACGCTCAACAGAACATGCAGTTAGGATTTCAAAAGTCAGATGATGTTTCAAAGGAGCATAAGTAATATAGAAGACTGCACGTATACCAATGTGAACATGCTGACTGATGGGGAGAAAAGCAACTTTTAATGAGAGGAAAAAATCGTGACCCTGAGCGGGCAAATATGAAAGCCAATGGTAGAATGCAACACCACCTTAATGCAGTACAGCAGAATCCTTTTTACCATTATACTACAAGATTTAACCATGTTCTTCCATTTTTGTCCTGTAATTTAGGCAGCCCACGTTTGTAATGATAGCTCAACTGAATGCATAACTGAGTTTTCATCAGAAACATTATGAATTGATTGGCTTGGATATACACTTGTAGGATAATGGTTAATAAAAATACTCATTTTGTCCATACCCATGTGGGCTACTGGTATGCCTACATTTCTTGTATCCTCTAGTTTAGCCATCTTAAAGTTTCTTGATCCACTCATGCAAGAAGGTATATAAAACACATCTAAGAAATAATGTACAATAAGCTTTCAATATGGAAATATGACTATCAAAATGGAAGAATTCTATTTAATTGCCTCAGAATACTTAGACACTGAAAATCTTTTGTATTTCAGAATCAGTATCATACTTACTGATACTAACAATTTTAGCATGTAGGGAATCAACCCTATGATTACTTTTGTTTCCAAAAGTAGTTTGATTTGGTAGACAATGTCAGTTTTTAAAGGGCTTTTGGAATCAGCGATAGTACCAATAAATTACCTATGTTAAAAAAAAGTAAAAAGCTATAGCTTCCGTATCTCATTTAAATAATGAGTACCGATCTAACATCTATCTTTGATGTCCAGTAGACCTGAGGAGGATGAATACGTGGCTATGATTGACCCTATGTCTAGCACTCCATCTGCTTTCAGTATTCTCTGTGGTGCTGCTGTGATTTTATCTGTTCTAGTGCAAATACCCTCAAGCCATCTCAAGTGAATTCTCTTGAGTTTCCTCCTCAACTCCAAAACTTCTCAGCTAATGTGCCTTTCTTTTTTCCCTCATTCCCGTCACTATCCCTCTTCTTCATAAGTAATTTCTGGGGGCGCCTGGCTGGAGCAGCGGCCATCCAGCTGTTGATTTCGGCTCACACCATGATGGCACGGTCCTGGGATTGAGCCCTGCATTGGGCTCTGGGCTCGAAGTGAGCCTGTTTGAGGCATCACTCTCCCTCTGCCTTTGCCCGTCGCCCTAATCACTCACTGTCTCTTTCATTCTCTCTCCCTAAAATAAAGAAAGAAATCCTTAAAACAGAGTTATTTCTGGATCGATGGTCTTGATTGTTCTGCTTTTACACCCCTTTTATTAGGGTTTATCTTCACCACTTCTTTCCTCTTTATTTAGCACTAGTATCTCACAACTATAACCTCTCTTTCTGCATCTCCTCACTCCCCTCTAGCTAAAAACACGCTCACAAATAAAAACAAAATAATGCTTTTCCTTGATCCCATGGTGTCCTGAACTATCCAGTGGCACTTCCAGATTTCTCTATAGAAATGCCTTGCTTCAGAGCACATGACACAGGGACCACAGACATTGGCATCACCTGAGAGGTCAGAATACAGAATCCCAGACCTGCTGTTCACAATCCGCATTTTTAGCAATGTTTCCAATGATTTACTAAAGTTGGAGAAATTCTAGTCCATACTGTGTCTGCTACCACATTCCTTTACCTTAACTTAACCCTCTAGAAGCAAGCCTCATGTTCGTCACTATCAATTCTTCAAAACTGGAAATGTCTTAAAAGTCATAAGCTTTCTAATGGACTTTTTATCACGGCTAAAGTTTCCTTGATTTCCCCCGCACTGACCCTCCTCCCTTCTTCTTTACAATACTCTTACTTTGCACTCAATGACACTATTTATGAAGTACTACCATTTTTATGCCATTAAGGTACACACACTTATCGCTGACTAGAACATAGCTCTGCATGATCAACCCAGTCCTGAATGTCTTCCCAACCATGAGGAAAGCAGTAAGAGCAGGAAAATTTTGCTATCCTATTCTGACAGGTTTTGGTATTGGAAGCTCACCTGATATTATTCCTGCATTTCAAATAGTCTACTCCTCATTTAAAAGAATTATTTTGGTGGGGTTATGGACATTGGGGAGGGTATGTGCTACGGTGAGTGCTGTGCAGTGTGTAAACCTGAAGATTCACAGACCTGTACCTCTGCAGCTAATAATACATTATATGTTAATAAAAAATAAAAAATTTTAAAAAGAAAATTAGAAAAATAAAAAAATAAAGAATTATTTTATTTTACCACCTTCCACTCTAAGAGCTGCTTATTATCCTTCATTTATTCCCTATATTCTTTGACTTTCTCATCAGTCACTCTTTTGATCCTTTCCACTTATTTCCTGATGTTCCTTTGGTCTTAGAGTATCTTGAAATGGAACCACTAATTTAGCTCCTTTGTGGCACCCTCAGTTTCACCTGTTACTGACACCTGATAAGACTTCAACTTATCTCCTTTTCAATGTTTCTCCTCTCTATCTATTCAATAGGTGATTTTCTTCGGATATTTAAATATATCAGTATTCCCATTTTACATCAATATTTTATCAAGTGACTTTCTAATAAAATACAATTCTTACCTCCCACTTGTTCATTTAATGGACTTGTCCCTTTCTGATCTGCATTTCCAGATAAATGATCAATGTATGTCTCTGGAAGACTTTCAGAATTACTCTGTTAAAATGGACAACAAAAATGAGTTGTATAAAAATTTCCTAATCCTTTTCTAAGAAAATATCTGAATTTCCTACTTTAATAGTAATCAGACTCACAAATAAGAAAAACATGTACTGAAAATTGAAACATTTAAACACCTCATATATGCTTTCTAAATTAAGTGTAATGTTTAACCTTCATTTGGCCACTGACTGTAAACTGAACATCAAATGCCAGAGTAAATATTTTCTTGGACAGAACACTGACTTATATGTACATTTCAACAGGAACTAACAAAATACCTAACTCTCCTTTGCATTCCCCACCAAAATAAAAGGATATTAAAAATATGTATTTAAATAAATTCTCTAATAAGTATATTTGCTACAAATTTAAACTGTTCCTAACAGCAGAACCTTTTTCCATGTTAAAATAGGACACTTGACATAGGAAACTTTGGAGTAGATCATGTTGAGTATAAAGAGTACAGTGTGGTAACTGCTGCTTCATTTGGATAAACAAAGGCTTGGAAACTTTATTGACAGGATAATGGTTAAATGCAATGGCAAAGTAAGAAGAAGAACTTTTCTTGAAATTATGTTTAAGTAATAGCAAAAAATTTTAGATATAGGTATGAAACTCTCCAAAAAGTATAATTAGCTTTCATAAGGGAATAATAACATTTATTTATTAATTACCTAAAAGGTACCAGGCACTTATTAAATTTAGTATACCCATTTTCTTTTCTACAAACAACAATAATACCAATGGTTATGACAATGGGGTGGATCTTCCTGCTTCCTGGTCATTCCAAGACATTAGAGTGAAATGATGAACAGGTGTGATCCACGGTTCTGTCTGTCTAGAATGTCTAGAAGGTCTCCAAGACCTTCACACAACTGGTCCTTCTCATCCTTCACTTGGCAGCTCTTGCCACACTCAGAGAGATTGTTTCTGACCAACAAAATTCCATTCTCATCCCAATCCTAACTCAAAATCATCATCGCATTCTCATCCCCATCCTAACTACAAACTCCCCCAATATTCCCTAACATTTCCATTTTCTTTAAATGAACCACTAACAGTGACTTACAGTGGGTTGTTGTTTCCTTATTTTTCTGCTCCTACCACTACAGCCTAACCCCTCAACTTGTACAGCCTGGTACATAGCTGGTATTCAATAACAAACGTATTTAAGGTCAAAAAACTTAAAATAATCTAGTGAGGGGGCGCCTATATGGCTCAGTCAGTTAAGCAACTGACTGTTGATTTCAGTTCAGTTCATGATCTCAGGGTTGGGAGATTAAGCCCCATGTTGGGCTCTATGCTGAGCATGAAGCCTACTTGGGAATCTTTCTGTCCCTCTTCTTTTGCCCCTCCCCACTCCTCTAACATGCTCTCTCTCTATCTCTAAAAAATAATAACAACAAGCTCCCTGAGAAGGTCTCAAGTACCAAGTTACTATATTAGGTATCTACCCTTGCACAATGCAAGGGTTAAGGGCATTGATAGCTGTGCAGTCCAAACTCCACATATAACTTTGGATTCCCCCAAAACTTTACTAATGAACTTCCTACTTCAAAAGCAATTAGACTTAAAAATAGCAAAAGTGTATATTAAAAAAATATATTTAAATAGAAGACCTTAGATCTCTAGAGTAGAGATCATTAGATCTCTAGATCTAATCTACTTCTTAATCCTCATTTGACCATTGACTCTGTAAACTGAGCACGGAAGGTCAGAGTAAATTATAACCTAATGCTGACCTTACCAATAACGTAAAGTCAATTAACACATTTTGTATGTCCTATATATTATATACTGTATTCCTACAATATAAACTAAAGAAAAGGTTATTAAGAAAATCATAAGGAAGAGATAATACATTAACAGTACTGTATAAAAAAAAAAAATCTGAGTGTAAGTGGACAAACAATTCAAACCCATCTTGGTCAAGAGTCAACTGTATACCTACACAACGTCACTGAAATTTAACATAGCCCAAATTAGAAATCCACCTGCCCATTCTAACTTTCCCCTTCTTTTCTTGACACTACTGCCATTTATTTTATTGCCCTTCAGAAATCTTCACATTTCAAAAAAGGGTCCTCAATATTTAGTAAATCACTAAATACTGCTGTGATCATTTTTGTCTTGTATTTCTATAGCACCCTTAACAGTTTACAAAGTGTTTTCACCTTTGTTCATTACACATACCTGAGAGGTAGGTATTAGAATCATTTTTATGAATGACATCTGTGACATTCAAACAGGTTAAACAAGTTTTTCTGGGATCCCAAAGCTACCAAGTGACAGAACCTGGATGCCACCGTAACTTTTGACTTCAAACACAGCGCTTGCAGCGCTGTGTAGCACCTACCTGTGCTAAGAGATCAGGCCCTTCCATAGTCCGTCACCTTAGAAAAGGTCATCATTACCTTACACTTATGTTTCTACAAGTATGGCTACCACAAAGATACTCAAGGCATACTATTTTAACTATCCGAAATAGTTTTTACCTATTGAAAGCACCACTAAACCAGGGATGCCTGGGCATTTCTGGGATCTAGCCCCATATGACAGTGGGGAGCCTGCTTCTCCCTCGCCCTCTGCCCCTCCACCCCACTCATGCTCCCTTTCTTTCTCAAATAAATAAATAAAATCTTTTTAAAAATAAATAAAACACCACTAAACCAGTGGTAATAATACCACTAATACCATTATATTATTATAATTTTTATTGTAATCCCAATGCTCCTTGTAAATCTACGTAATAATCCAAATATAATAGTTTCAGGGCCTCCCCATGGTTCAGTTGAGCTCTGTGCTCAAACTGGAGTCTGCTTCAGATTCTCCCTCTCCCTCCCACTCACTCACTCTCTCTCTCAACTACATAGATACACAAAATATTTTTAAAATATGCATATGCATATACATACATACAGATAGATAGATAGATACACTTTCAAGTCCCAGGCATTATCTTTTCAAATTCCAACTTGTAAAACACTAAAACCCAAACTCTTTCTAGATCTCATTAGGAGTTTTGCACATCCATATACACCACAGAATCATATGTCTGGCCATAAGCTGGCCTGGAATAATTCTTTGGTTATTTAGATAACTTAATTTCAAAACACAAGCCAATTCCTTATCACGTCTAAGCCTCCGTTTTCTGCAATAATATTACACAGCTTTCATTAGGTTAAGTTTGTAAATTAATAGAACTGTATTATGCTGGATTATTATATTTAGCACATAAATATTTTATCAATTATAGGTAAAAAGTATAAGGAAATAGTTTTTATGGGCAAATGCAGAGATGAGAGAGTAAAGTCTAAGTATCCCTTTTACGTTTTAAAATCACTCCTTGCTTTTATCTTAAAATAATAATAAAACAGTACCTCAGAATCCCAAGGTGATTCTTCATTTTGTTCTGCGAATCCTAATGCTGACAGCATAACTATAAAATAGTCACAGATACATTAATGAGAACACATATTATGAATTTTAAACGTATATACAAGCCTATTCCCCCCTTCATGAATACTTCAATAAAATAAAAGTAAAAGCAGTAAAGAATTTCAGAGGGTTGAAGAATTTTCAGGAAGAAAAAGCTGGTATACTTAAAAAGACAGCAAAAAGAAAACGAAAAATATCTTAATGAAATGGGTAACATAACTGGATCTACATACTGTGATTTTTTTTACACTAGCATTTAAGCCTAGAAAAAAATTCATGGATGTTCACTAACTTACCATGTCTATCATTTTTATCTGCCCTGTCAGCAGAAGTCAAACAGTCATTAACTGTTTGCTCTTGTGGAACACTTTCAGTAATACCATCGTCCTTTGTTCCAATTGCTGGCCGCTCCTCTCCTTCCTATAAAAACAACACAAAACAAAAACCCGACTTCAGAAAACATCACATCAATTCACGTGCTCACTCACTCACTCAGAAAGACAAATGCATCCATCAAGTCATAGGCACTATCCTGGGAGAAGCTGGAAATATAAATCAAAGAGACTGCCATATAGACTAGTAGGGGTAGAGATGGACAAAAACAAGAACAGAAGAGTATCATTTACTAGTTCTACAGGTGAAGTGAATAAAGCACAGTGAAGGCACAAAGGGGAAAACAGTTGTATATGGGAAGCTCAAGAAATGCTGCAAAGGTAGGGCTGTATCTTGAGAGAGAGACTACATAAAGATGGTGTGAAGGGCATTCTAGAAAAGGTAGAATGAGCAAAAGGATGACGTATGGAATAACATAGTAAGTGACGATAGCTACAGAAGGTGGCAAAACTGGAACATGATTTTTGGGAGTGGGATAGAGAGATAGAATTGGAAAACCAGGACTGAAACAAAAAGGGTAAGTGTCATGCTGGAATATGAACTTTCTCCTTCAGGTAATGGGTATCCACTAAAGAAGCAGAGGAGTTACATCACCACAAATATATTCTAGAAAGGTCATTCTGACAGCAATGTAGAGATGAACATAAAGGAACCCAAGGGGCACCTGGGTGGCTCAGTGGGTTAAGCCTCTGCCTTTGGCTCAGGTCATGATCCCGGGGTCCTGGGATAGAGCCCTGCATTGGGCTCTCTGCTCAGCGGGGAGCCTGCTTCCTCCTCTCTCTGCCTACTTGTGATCTGTCTGTCAAATAAATAAATAAAATCTTAAAAAAAAAAAAAAAAAAAAGGAACCCAAGCCAGAACAGGATTTCAAAATTATAGGTGAGAGAGGGAATTATAGTAAGATAATGAAAAATGGGAAGCAGGTACAAAATAATGAATGCAGAGAGTGACTGAATAGGGTGACTTTTTTCTTTTTAATATTTTTTAAAGGTTTTATATTTATTTGTCAGAGAGAGAGAGAGCACAAGCAAAAAGAGCGGCAGGCAGAGAGAGAAGCAGACTCCTCACTGAGAAAGGAGCCCAACAAGGGACTCAAGCCGAGAACCCTGGGATCCTGACCTGAGCTGAAGGCAGACGCTTAACCGACTGAGCCACCCAGGTGCCCCGTTTTCTAATTTAAATTCAATTAATTAACATATAATGTATTATTGGTTTCAGAGGTAGAGATGTGATGATTTTTTTCTAAAGATTTAATTTATTTATATTTAGAAGGAGAGGGTATGCATGCGGGTGGAGGGGCAGAGGGAGAGGAAGAGAGAGAATCCTCAAGTAGACTCCCTACTCAGTATGGGGCCCGACCCGGGGCTTCATACCAGGACCCTGAGATCATGACCTGAGCAACACCAACAGTCGGATGCTTAACTGAGCAAACCACCCAAGTGCCCCTGGATGTAGTAATTTCAGGGAAGTATGGAGTCCAGGATTTTTCCTACTTCAGTGTTTCAGTGGTGTTATCTA